AGAGAGAAAGGACGAAGGTCGTCCCCTATGCTTTAGACGTAGGCTCCACAGTATGCTATGCTGTGTACCGCACCTAAAGTGTGCCTTGCCATGAGTCAGTCAAGGGGTACAAGTGTGATCCAGGAATGGATCACATGACAGCGGTCAAGATTATCCTTAGTAACTAGTGGACTAAGGAATTTTCTCAATTATGGAGGTGGTAAAGGAGTTCGTCGTAAAGGGTTACGCCGATGCAAACTTTGACACTAATCTGGATGACTCTGAGTAGTAGACCGGATTCGTATAGTAGAGCACTTATTTGGAATAGTTCCAAATAGTGTGTGGTAGCTGCATCTAGGAGATGACATAGAGATTTGTAAAGCACACACAGATCTGAAAGATTCAGACCCGTTGACCAATGACCTCTCTCACAAGCGAGATATGATCAAACCCAATGGGTGTTGGATTCATTGCAATCACATAGTGATGTGAACTAGATTATTGACTCTAGTGCAAGTGGGAGACTGTTGGAAATATGCCCTAGAGGCAATAATAAAATGGTTATTATTATATTTCCTTGTTCATGATAATGTCTATTGTTCATGCTATAATTGTATTAACTGGAAACCGCAATACATGTGTGAATACATAGACCACAACATGTCCCTAGTGAGCCTCTAGTTGACTAGCTCGTTGATCAATAGATGGTTATGGTTTCCTGACCATGGACATTGGATGTCATTGATAACGGGATCACATCATTAGGAGAATGATGTGATGGACAAGACCCAATCCTAAGCATAGCACAAGATCGTGTAGTTCGTTTGCTAAAAGCTTTTCTAATGTCAAGTATCATTTCCTTAGACCATGAGATTGTGCAACTCCCGGATACCGTAGGAATTCTTTGGGTGCGACAAACGTCACAACGTAACTGGGTAGCTATAAAGGTGCACTACGGTATCTCCCAAAGTGTCTGTTGGGTTGTTACGAATCGAGACTGGGATTTGTCACTCCATGTGACGGAGAGGTATCTCTGGGCCCACTCAGTAATGCATCATCATAATGAGCTCAGTGTGACTAAGTAGTCAGTCATGGGATCATGCATCACGTAACGAGTAAAGTGACTTGCCGGTAACAAGATTGAACGAGGTATTGGGATACTGACGATTGAATCTCGGGCAAGTAACGTACCGATAGACAAAGGAAATTGTATACGGGATTGCTTGAATCCCCGACATCGTGGTTCATCCGATGAGATCATCGTGGAACATGTGGGAGCCAACATGGGTATCCAGATCCAGCTGTTGGTTATTAACCGGAGAGATGTCTCGGTCCTGTCTACATGTCTCCCGAACCCGTAGGGTCTACACACTTAAGGTTCGATGACGCTAGGGTTATAGGGAAGTTTTGTACGTGGTTACCAAATGTTGTTCGGAGTCCCGGATGAGATCTCGGACGTCACGAGGAGTTCCGGAATGGTCCGGACGTAAAGATTTATATATGGGAAGTCCCGTTTTGGACACCGGAAGTGTTCTGCGCGTTATCGGTAACGTACCGGGACCACCTGAAGGGTTCGGGGGTCCACCGGGAGGGGCCACCAACCCCGGAGGCCTACGTGGATCAAGTGTGGGAAGGGACCAGCCCCTAGATGGGCTGGTGCACCTCCCACAAGAGGCCCAGGGCGCAGGGAAATGGGAAAGGGGGAAAACCCTAGGCTCAGATGGGCATAAGGCCCACCTAGGGCGTGCCCCCCTTCTCTCCCCCTTTGGCCACCCCCCAGATGCATCTAGGGCTGGCTGCCACCCCTAGGGGGGAACCGTAGATGGGGGCGCAGCCCCTCCCCTTCCCCTATATATAGTGGGGGTTTGGGGGCTGCCAGAGACACGAGTCTCCCTCTCTCTTGGCGCAGCCCTACCCCTCTCCCTCCTCGTCTCTCGCAGTGCTTGGCGAAGCCCTGCTGGAGTGCCATGCTCCTCCATCACCACCATGCCGTTGTGCTGCTGCTGGACGGAGTCTTCCCCAACCTCTCCCTCTCTCCTTGCTGGATCAAGGCACGGGAGACGTCACCGGGCTGCACGTGTGTTGAACGCGGAGACACCGTTATTCGGTGCTTAGATCGGATTCGGCCACGATCTGAATCGCTTCGTGTACGACTCCACCGACTGCGTTCTTGCAACGCTTCCGCATCGCGATCTTCAAGGGTATGAAGATGCACTCCCCTCTCTCTCGTTGCTAGTTACTCCATAGATTGATCTTGGTGATGCGTAGAAATTTTTTAATTTCTGCAACGATCCCCAACACTAAAAGGCATAAAGATCGCTCCAGCAGCCCCACTAGTTACTCATCTATTGTTCGCTGTCGACTCACTTTTGCTCATGGAGGCCACGGAGGAGAGTGTCAATGCGGTCAGGGACATCCTGGAGGTTTATGAACGAGGATCGGGCCAGACGATCAATCGTGACAAGTCAGCTATATTTTTCAGCAAGAATACACCGCATCAGAGAAGGGACCGCCTGATCCAACTGCTCGGGCTCCATACTGAGGGTCATCAAGGGAAATACCTTGGGCTCCCGACCTGCGTAGGCAAGTCACGCCAGGCCTACTTCGAATACTTGCGTGACTGGATCTGGGAGATTCTGCTGGGGTATAAGATCAAACTCCTGTCAAAGAAGGGAAAGGAAATCCTAATCAAAACAGTGCTCCAAGCCATACCAACTTATGCCATGGCCTGCTTCGATCTGACCAAGTCACTGTGCGAGAGTATTAGCTAGATGATCTGCCGCTTCTGGTGGGCAAACCAAGACGATGACAGGAAGCACCATTGGGTCGGGTGGGAGAAGATGACACTACCAAAGTAGGAGGGAGTCCTAGGCTTTAGGGACCTGCATTCGTTTAATATGGCCATGCTGTCACGCCAAGTGTGGAGGTTACTGCAGGCCCCAGACTCCCTGTGTGCCTGGGTGCTAAAAGCTCGGTACTATCCTACCGGCGACCTCCTAACAGCCCAACCATTCCCCGGCATTAGCTATGTCTGGCGCAGCATTCTCCAAGGAGTGGATATAATCAAGGGGGGCATGGTCTGGAGAGTTGGAAACGGCGACCACATCGGGATATGGCAGGATCCATGGCTCCCCACAGGCCCCGTGAGATTTCCATGATCACCACGCGGGAATAACTTGCTAACCACCGTTGCGGAGCTGATCGACCCGACCACACAGACATGGGACCAGCAACTCGTGCGCCAAAACTTCCTTGCGGATGAGGCCACCACTATCCTGGGGATCCCTATCTTTGAACACCATGATGATTTTATCGCGTGGCAGTTCGACAGCAAGGGCATGTTTTCTATCAGGTCCGCCTGCAGAGTACACGTTGACCTCCAGAAGCACCATAGTGCACACCCGTCGGGCGACAGCTCCACGGGGGAGGATGGAGATAGAAAGATGTGGCTGAAACTATGGAAGATCCAATGCCCGGGCAAAGTCCATCATTTCATATGGCGTGTGGCGCATAACAGACATCCAATGCTCAGGAACATCGAGCGCATCGGTGTGGAACTAGACACTGACTGCCTCATGTGCAAACGCCTCCCTGAAGACGGAGGACATCTTTCTTGCGGTGTAAGGAAGTTAAGAAGATGTGGCACATTGCAGGCCTGGAGGATTACAGACTGCGGCTCTTGGAATGTTCTTCCCCTCGCCAACTCCTAGAGTGCATTTTCTCTTTCCCAGAGGAAGCTTCGCTCAAGATCATTTGCCTCCTATGGATGTGGTGGACTGAGAGGAACAAAGTAAAGCACCAGCAAAGCAGGGCGTCGGCCGACCAATTCCATTTGCTGATGACCAAGGCCTCGTCAGAATGGCGGGAGTTCAACTCAAAGAGAGCGCCGACACAACACAAACCTCCTGTCAAATGGTCTAAACCTGTAGCAGATGTTGTGAAAATTAATGTCGACGGGCTTTTCCCCGGAGGGGAACCACGCAGGCTGGGGTTGCGTCGCTCGAGACCACACGGGCGACGTCATCTTTGCCGCGGCCGGGGAGCTACAACACGCAACTGAATCTGTCCATGCAGAGGCACTAGCTCTTATTCACGCAATCTCTCTTGCTGAAGCACAAGGAATGGGACGGGTTGTGTTCGAAACAGACTGCTTGGGCCTCGTCAGTGCCATCTCCATCTATGTTCTGGATCGTTCAAGTCTGGGTGCCATTTTTAGGGAGACGAGATTCCTCCTCCAGCTAGGTTTTCTCCAGTGGAGCATTGTACACTGCCCACGCTCTTGTAATATCCCAGCACACACGCTGGCATCTATGGGTAGGCAGGGTACTTACGGGAGCCAATACGTGTGGCTCTCAAACTTTCCCCCTCTTGTAACTGATGCAGTGACCGTCGATTTGGTCGGTCTGGCCTAAAGCAATGGAATGCAAGGTGTTCCAATTTAAAAAAAAAAGACGGTGTATCGATCTCCGATCTAACAAACACGTACGTACCGTCCGATCTCCTTCAAGGTGCATCCAGGTATATGTATGAGTCGGCATTCGGCAACACCCCAAGCCCTAGCCACCACGCCCACCCGATCGATCTGTAGTAAGTGCTAATGGCAAGAAGCAAGGGCGCCGCCGCCAGGCGAAGGAAGGCCGCCACGGCCAAGAAAGCCAACGCGAACGCCGCCGCCAGGACGGTCGAGGCTCCCAAAAAGGCCGTCGTCCCCAGAAAATGTCCCAGACTCCCGTCGGACGTGCTCCCAAAAAGGCCTGCGGTTCCTCGACCGCATCCACTTCGCCTTGGTCTTCGCGTCCCGCGACGACGAAAGGTTCAGGCCGTACGCGCCATGGCTCCTCCTCCCCGGAAAGTCCCCGGAGAAGTTCGAGCTCTTCTCCATCGCTGATCGGCGCAGCGCCACCTTCCAGCCCGCCGCGGACCCCGCATTGCGCGGCCACCTCGTCCTCGGCTCCTCCCGCGGGTGGCTCGCCACGGCCGACGACCGGGGTCAGATCTACCTCGTCAACCCGCTCAGCGGCATGCAGCTCAGGTTGCCGCACATGTCCACCATGGGTCTCTTCGTGCCCGACACGCGATACCTACACTTCTCCCTCCGCATACCGGACTTCCTGAAAGCCCGGTTCGGCGGGGGGCCGCCCTACGATCATGAATGGGGTCCGGTGGGGTACAACACTAGCACGTTGATCTATTATCAGATGCGTGAGCATTTTTACCGCAAGGTGGTCATCTCGACGTCCCCGCTCCCCAGCAGCTATGCCGTGATGCTCATCATGGAACATAAGATCGGCGCACCGGCCTTCGCCACGGCGAAGCACCCTGTGTGGAGGCTGGCACCCTCGCGTGAAGGCGTCGAGGACGCCATCCACCATGACGGCCGGTTCTACTCCGTCTCCTACTCAGGCCTGGTGGAGGCGTGGGAGCGCAATGCGGTGTCCGGCGTGTACACTAGCACGGCCGTCGCGCCACGGCTGGCCCTTGGGAAAAACGAAGAAGGCAGCTCGTCGTCGTGCCGCAAGTACCTCGCGGCGGCGCCCGGAGGGCGGCTGATGGTGGTGCTCAAGTACCTCGAGGTGATCAAGGAGCAGAACGGCCAGGGCAGACGGCCGTGCTCCTTCAAGGTGCATGCCCTCAGCGACCAAGGGCAGTGGAAGGAGGCGACGGACATCGGCAACGTCGCGCTGTTCGTCGGGGTGAACAACTCGCTGTGCTTGCCGATGATGGAGCGCCCGGAGATCAAGGCCAGCTGCGTCTACTACACTGACAACGAGCTCGGCAACAGATCGACGTACGATGGCGATGGCGGTCGCGGTGAGTCGGATCTTCAGGCTGTCGGGGTGTACAGCCTCAAGGACGGCACGATGAAGAAAATCTGGGATCTCGGAGAGCAGGTCCGAAACTTTTACCCGCCGCCGGTTTGGATATTACCTTCCAAGTACTAATAATTAGCTAGGTTTGAGTTTTTTCTTAAGATCGCCAGCAAGTTATAACTGGAATAATTTGTACTAGTTGATAAGCACTGCAAATCTGTGTGTGCGCCTGATCAAATGAGATCCATGAGCAACATTCAGAATAACAAAATTTTCAAAGGAAGGCAAAAGTTTTGCCACATTTGTTTGACTATACTTATTAACCAAGATGAATAGCGGAAATCCGTTGGGGGTCTCGGGAGTGCGCGCTCCTGCACGTGAAAAATATATTTTAAAGTGTGAAAAAATTTCATACAAAAATTTGGCGATACATCTCAACATTATATGTGTGCACGTTAAGTTTCGGAGAAAACCGACATTTTTTGTGGCTTGTGTAAAAAAGACAAAATGATATCTTGTGAAAAGCATTTTTTAACATCGGATTTTGTCTTTTTCACACGCGACACATAAATTGTCGGTTTTTCGCGAAACGACTTGTGAGCATGTACAATATCGAGATGTACGTGCCAAGTTTTTGTTTGGATTTTTTTGACATTTTCAAAATATGTTTAAAACATATTTTAAAATATGAACTTTACTTCATCCGTTCTAAAGTATGAAATAAAAGGCTTATAAGTTTTGGCCTAAGTTATGTATATTATAAATTGACCGAGTTCATAGAGAAAATAATCAACACAGCTACGAAGCCTACGATACCAAACCAGTCAATAAATTCACCACGGAATATGTACTCCCACAGGAGTAAGACCGTTAGTGTTAAAACAACAAATGTAACAATGCATTGGTTTGACACCGTAGTTCAAAGCATACACAGATGGAAAATATATGCTAGCTAGCTAGCTAAGCTAGGAGTGTTCCAACCATCACAGTAACGGCTTGTCCTTGAATTTTTACCCTCCGATTTGCAGCATCCAACTCCAGATAAAGTGTTCCGGTCCTTTTAGATACCTGATGATACATGGTAAATGAATGATTTAAGATGATTAAGCGCATATTTTAGCAACTTTTCTCAAACACATGCATATTGAAAGAATGATCCAGTTGGTCGTAGAGGTAGTCAAGAGTCAAGACATACTTAAAACGCCGTCAGTCTTTGTTTGCCCAGTTTTCGGGCCCAGTATGGTGCTAGAGCACAGTGTGCACTGCCACAAACAGGGTCCTGTTATGTAGCACAATGCCGATGGGTTATGAGATATGAAAGAAGATGATATATTCTACATAGACAATATGGCCGTAATTTTTTTTTCAAAATTAAATGTAGGTGTGTTGCTATTTCTAACTCAAGAAAGAAGACCATAAGTTAAACAAGCTTCATGTACTACTGTATTATATATGTACTGAACTTAGAGAAAGTTTACAAGATCACCTCGTCTACCCCTTTTTTCGGGGCGAAGAAACGTGAGAAGAAGTCATAACCACATCCAGGTGGCGCCTGTCCTGTAACAATAACACCTCTGCCAGCACACTTTTTAAGTTGTTCCAAGTTAGGAAGGACATCAGCAACCTCTTCTCCCGATGAAAGTTCTACCTGAAAAAGGCCACGACGCGCAGATTCTTTTGGTCATGTAGATGTATAGCATAGTTGCCTGATCTGCTACCTCATAGGAGTTGAGTTCGCAAATCCGTTGTTATGCTCAGCAAATAGGTGTAGAAAATTCTAACTCGAAACATTGTTTGGACTGTTGGAGGCAGAAGCAGTCCAACTAGAAGAACCCTAATACTGTAGCTCCTAAATCCTAATCACCACTCTCAACCAGCCGGTTCAGATACTGCTTACTCCAGCAGCTGCTACCCGGTTTATCCACGCCGTCACAGCCTACTACCGCTCAGTTTTCGTTGCAGGTTGCCACGATTTTGCCATAGTTCTGAATTTTATGATTTGGCGAATATAGTTCTGATATTTCTCTAAAGAAATACTACCTCTATACACCTGCAAAAGAAAACTACCTGTGACCCTCACACTGATTTCTCCCGGTCAAATTATCCCAGCTAAGCTTCCCCGTTAAATCCGTAATTATGTGCCCGTGCTTGTAGCATTGCTCAGATTGGTATCCGAATGCTCGTGACAGAGCAATGGAGCAATGGTGAGGCAGTTATATACGTACAATGAAGTCGTCGGTGATTGCCGCTCGATGAACTCCGACGACGGGCGCGGCCTTCAGGAATATGGACGGCAGCTCGTGGCTGGAGCTGCAGTCCACGAGAACATCGCTCGTAGGGAAATCCAGCTCGATGAACGGTTTCCCCTGCTCCTCCTCCGTCACCCGCGGCCGCGAACTTGCAACGGGAACCTTCCGGGCGGTCAGGACCCCGGACTCGGTCACGAACTCGATCACGTCGTGCTGCTTCGCGAGGACGGCGGTGAAGAGGAGGTGGGCGGACGCCAGTGTCCCGTGCCCGCACAGCGGGACCTCGGTGGCGGGGCTGAACCAGCGGAGGCGGAACCGCGGGGTGAACGAGCTGGAGCCGCCGTCGCGGCGGGAGAGGAAGGCCGTCTGGGAGACGTTGAACTCCGCGGCGACAGACTGAAGCCACCGGTCGTCATCGGCCGCGGCTTCGTCATCCAGGAGGCACACCGCCGCCGGGTTGCCCTTGAACGGCTCGCCAGTGAAGGCATCCACCTGCGTGCGTGCCAACCACACAAAAACTATGTACGTTGAAATGCGATGGAGCAAATTGCTGATACTACGAGAAGAGAAAAATGCCGGATCGATCCATGAGCTATAGCAGGCAGTTGATGAGCAGGTAAGGGCGCAGCGCACTGACCATGGCGTACTGGACGGCTCGGTTGGCCATTGCCAAGAAGCAGCTAGGTGCCTAGCTCCAAATCTGTGCAGGGTGTACTGGATGATGCTAGACGACGATCCAGATCCACCACGTTTTCAAAAGATACTGTCCTAGCCATCGGCAGGTAGCGCCCTCAGAGCATCTACAGCCACACATAGCTAATATGGCCCCTCAAACCTCTGCGAACGCGCCTTAAATTTGCTTCCAAATACTCACGTATCTTAAATTTTTCTCCTCGCTTTTGAGCCATTTTCACAAACACCTTATGTGCGGGCACGTAGAGCAACAACGGCAGTGTCTGGACCTCCAGCACGAGGTCGAAGCGGCAGTGGTGGCGGCAAGCTCCGACGGCGAGCTGCGTGGGCGGAAGCGTCTCGACCAGCATGCGCGCGGCGGCAAGCTCGTGGCCAGCACACGGCTGTGCATGCAGCGGCTCGCCAGCCCGTGGCCAGCACGCAAAGCAGCGGCAGCAGTGCACGCACGCAAGCGGCCAACTAGCTAGCATGGATGTGCGGCCGGCCAGACAGCACACCCGTCCCGCGCGGCTGTGGCGGCCAGCCAACACGCACGGCTGCGCACGCACACAGCTGCAGCCGGCCTGCCAGCACGCCCGGCACGCACGCCACGGTGCACGCGAGCTCCTGAGTGACGCGTGCGTGCCAATCATGCCGTGCTCCGGCACGAGCCCGACGCACGGGAGCTGCGGGGCGGCGCGGGCGTGGTAGCCATGCTGTGTTGCGACACAAGCGCGGCGCGGCGAGCACAGGAGCCGGACGCGCGGGAGCTCTAAGGCGGCGCGGGCGTGGCAGCCATGCCATGCTCCGGCGCAAGCGCAGCGCGCGAGGCCGCTGCCAGAGTGGAGGCCTCCCAATCCCATGGTGTGAGGGCGCGAAGCCGCTGCCGGAGGACGGGGCCGAGCTGCCGCCGAATGAGCGAGCGAGCTCCGGGATAGGCATGCTCCGTCCTCGTGCCGCGTGTGAAAAAGGAGAGAGGTGGGTGTGTGTGGCTGCAGATGGACCTATGTGGGTTGTCCGGGCGTGATCTGACGCGCCCGAGCATCCTCATGTCCATCTCAGATTTGAGATGGATTTGAGGTGGGCCAGACATTCTGGACGTTAAGGACGAAATGAAAGATCCGGTTGAATCTTTTTTTTTTCTTCTGATCGAGCATTGGACTGTCTGCTCGAGCATTTAGGAGAATAGGGAGTGGGGTTGTAGATGCTCTCATGTGCCTACGCACTTAAGGTCAGTTAGTACAGATAATGTTATTGCCTCATAGAACATGTGGATTTACTATTCCTGACTAACATGTTTGTCGTCCCTGTTTTTATTTACTAGGTATAATTATCTGTGTGTTGCTACGGTGCCAAATAATGTTTCAGCACAACCATAATAGATAGAAAAAAAATACACCGACGAGCCTGTCTGGATTGTCGTGCATTGTCGGCATCTGCAGCTCGGCTTTTTGACTAAGGGCATCCACAGCGTCTGGAGGCTGGCTTGCCTCCAAGCTGGGACCCACGTCCTGCTGTTAGAGTCAGCTCAAAATTCCGTAGTGTATAGCAAATGTTACCAGCCTCTAAGGTGTCCCCACTAGGTATAATATACTGATTACCAAAGGAGCTCCTTTTCATCCTCTTGATATGACACATGCATACTCTTTTTCTATGACATGTGGGGCCAGTGAATTATTTTATTGCATGGACAGAATTGAAGGCCGCCTCCAAGCATAGCGTCGACGCTAAGCAAATTTAGTTTAGAGGTTGTTCTCACAATGTATAGTGTATGCCTCTATGGCTTTAGAGGCTGCCTTAGAGGCAGCAAAACATCACACTGTGGATGCTCTAAGTCGGAGAGAAAAGGAGATATATGAATTGTGTTTTCAGAAAATCCAAACTTTCTGAAATGCATGCATTCTCATAGACTCGGGCATGATCTCCTAATCCCATAACGCATGTGAGCCGATACAAATCAAACGTGTACATCAATGACCTAAACTTACCTTAGCTGGTGGATTAGTTAAATACATCCGCCGCCTGGCTGGCCGTTGGATGGACGCGCTGCTGGCCGTCCAATGTATCACCCACGTTCTTCACCTCTCTTCTGCAACAAGTGCGGTGTTACAGAAACAATGGCCGTGCTACGCATCCGTCGGTTGAAGTTCGGGAAAGATCGATCACCTCCCACGCCGTTAGATCTCCCCACGTGAGCGTCACAAAATTGTA